TGATGAAGGGTCTAGGCCTGAAACGTCAGCCTTTCTGCTCCTATGATACTGCTTGGCCTGCTGTGTTCATCCAGCTCTGCACCTTGTTGTCTTGCATATACTGGGTTTGTTTTCACCGGAACACAGGAGGATGAGGGGCAACCTGATGGAAGTTTATAAGATTGTGAATGGCATAGATAGAGAGGAATATAGGAGGCTTTTTCCCAGTGTGGAGGGGTCAATTACAAGGGGACACAGGTTCAAGCTGCAAGGGGGCAAGTTTATAGGAGATGAGAGAGGCAGGTTTTTCAAACAAAGGATGGAGAGTGCATTGCCAGAGGTGGTGGTAGTGGAAGCAGACACAATAGCAGCATTCAAGAAGCACCTGGATGAATCCATGAATAGGAAGGGAATACGGGGATACGGATCCTAGTATGGAAGGGCAAAATGTGTCGGCGCAGGCTTGGAGAGACAAAGGGCCTGTTCCGGTGTTGTACTGTTCTCTTTGTTCTAAAGAATTTATACTGTACAACAACTAAAAGATCCCAAAGAGCTCCACAGTTGTATGACAAAGTTTTACATTGAGATAGCATATCAATATGAATAAGGAGATATTAGGAGAACAGGTAGATATTAGGAAGTTGTCTAGGAGGAGGAGAGATCAATAGAGAAGTGAAGTAGCTGAAGGGTGTCCAGATTGCTGGGCCTCAACAGCAGAAAGCATAAATGTGTAACAGTAGCACATCCTTCTGTGTCTTAAAGCTTTTTAAAAAAATACCAACAGACATTACATCATCTGCCTTTAGACAAGCATATTTATTACACTTCTGTCATGCTTATGATAAGTTACACCTAGATAAGCTTGTCTTGCCCCACTGTAGCATTCAGGGATTTGTATTCCGTCTGTAAACACCCAACTCAAGCCTAATAAAATTCAAAATTTCCCATTTTCACCTTTCTTCACCTTCTGCCTAGTTTGAATATCATTCCTAGATCCATATAATTGAAAACAAGTAGCCAGCAAATAAGAGAATGGTAACTCACTGCAATATCCAATGTGAGACTTTGAGCCCTACTTCCTATAACACTCACCTGATGGTGTCCTGGATCTTGACTCGTGTCCCTGAGGCAAACCACAACAGCAATGGCTAAGCTGTTCAGGGATAGTTCCAACTGCCGAAACACACAACAAATAGCAATTTGTATCCAGATTCATTTGGCATTACTGCAGTTCCATCAACACAAATTTAGTTGCAAAAACTTAGCAAAATAGAGCTCTTATGGCATATTCAGAGAATGGAGAATGTGTATCTGTTACAGGCTTGCTTGGGTGACTCTCAAAAGATAATAAAAAGTGATGGACCCTTTAAATTAACACGACCAATTTTCACAGTGAAGGAAACAGCAAAATATCAACAGTGAAAGGAATTTGTAAAAAAGTGGAAGAATGAAACTGAATGGATTTACTTTAAATGGTAATGGAGAAACTAACGGAATTCCTCAATACCAGCCAGTTTCTATCTTAAGATACTGGAAGAAATGTAATAAGAATCATGTCAATTTAACACGTGTAGGGAAGTTACTTGAATCAATCACTGATTACTTGATCAGATATTAATTGATCAAAGAGAAACAGCACAGCCTTGTGAACGATAGATCAGCACAGTGGCTCAGTGGTTAGCACTGCTGCCTCACAATGCCAGGGACCTGGGTTCGATACCAGCCTCGGGCGACTGTCTGTGTGGAGTTTGCACATTCTCCCATGTCTGCGCGGGTTTCCTCTGGGTGCTCCAGTTTCCTCCCACAGTCCAAAGATGTGCAGGTTAGGTGGATTGGCCATGCTAAATTGCCCATAGTGTTCAGGGATGTGTAGATTATGTGGGTTATAGGGGGAATGGGACTGGGTGGGATGCTCCAAGGGTTGATGTGGACTTGTTGGGCCGAAAAGCCTGTTTCCGCATGGTAGGGATTCTATGATGATCAAGAAATTGAGGGTAGAACTTCTTCACACAACAATTAGTGCAAATCGGAAATTTGCCACCACAAAAGGCTGTTAAAACTGGGTCAATTGAATTTGGATTTTCAGGACTAAATTCAACAGATTAGTGTGTGAGGCAACTTGAGTAAAGTTATAGATCATGGTATAAAAGGGACAGCTGCTAGGTGGTCACAAAACTGGCTGAGTGATAGGAAAGAGTAATGGCCAATGGATATTTTTCAGGCTGGAGGAAGGTTTGTATTGGAGTTGTCCAGGAACCAGTTTGGGGCCCTTGCTTTTCCTGATATATACTAATGATCCGGATCTTGGAATATAGGGGACAATTTCAAAGTTTGCATTTGACATAAAACTTGGAAGCATTATAAACTAAGTGGAGGAAAGTGTGGATCTCCACAAGGACATTGCACTTTGGTTGGAAGAGCATTGAAAGACAACATAAAATAGGGGGTACAATTCCAAAAGGGTTGGCAGAAGTAGAGGGACATGGGTGCATATGTGCACAGATCATTGAAGGCAGCAGGATAGCTGGAAACAGCAGCTGGTAAACCATACAGTGCTCTTGGCTTTATTAATAGAGGCAGAATATTATGTACAGTCATGGGAGTCGCATTATAGGAAAGATGTACATCAATGTTAGGTATATTAGGTGTGATATTACTAGAGGGCAAAAGCTGTCTCATGTGGTTTATGCTGAAATTATACAAACAACTGCAAAAATTAACAGAATCCTGAAGTCACCATTTACACACCGAGAGGTGAAGGTGAGTAAGGCCTAGAGGATCCAGTGGAGAGTCTGCGGCCTGGATTTTGGGGTGCATCTGCAGCAGCTGGTGACCCAGATGTTGGTTTCACAAAACCTACTGGGCTTGTGTTTGATCTCTTCACCATTCCAGATCTGAAAGTTGATAACAGAAACCATGAACACAGAAAAACTTGTATTTATATAGTACTCGTCATCAAACGTAAGGGACTTCAGAGGAGTGTTATAAAACAAAATTAAACACTGTTTAAATACTTGTTCATGGGTGATGGGCATCCCTGGCAAGGCCAGTATTTATTGCCCATCTCTAGTTGTTTTCAGGACAGTTAAGAGTCAACCACGTTGCAGAGAGTTTGGAGTTACATATGGGCCAGACCAGGTAAGGATGGCAGATTTCCTTCCCTAAAAGGACATTGGTGAGTCAGATGTGTCTTTAAACAATTGACAGTTGTTATGAGGTCACTGTTAGACTTGCTTTTTTTAAACTCCATTTTTTAAAAATTGAGTTCAAATTTCGCTATCTACCAGGAGGGACGCAATCCCATGTCATCAGTCTGTGTCCTGCATTACTTGTCTACTACACCACTACCACTCATCAAAATCTTGGCTAGAAATAATCTTTAAGTAGGAAAGAGAAGCAGAAAAGTTTAGGAAAAGCTTAGGCCCGAGCCAGCTGTAAATCAAGTCTGCATGAGAGGTTAGAATTGGAGAAAGCAAAGAGGTATCAAAGGGTTGGAGAATGTTAGAGAGATATAAATGGCAAGACTATGCAGGGATTTGATAATAGATGAGAATTTTAAAGTTAGCGTGTGACTACATGGAATATCATGTCCGTCAGAAAGTACAGGAAGGATTGGTAACGGGACCTAATACAAGCTGGGATACAGTGACAGAGCTTCGATGAGCTCATAACTCATGCCCAACTTGTTTGAAGCTGGAAACTATTCAGAGGGCAGTATTTCACATGTTTGAAGCCCTCAAGATGTCTAATTCAGGTGGGTGCTTTTCATAAGAAGAGCTCAGAAAATGCATGTCAGCATCACAGTTCAGCCTCATCTAATCCTTTCTTCCTTGTTTATAGAATCACAGTTTGCAGCAACTCACTAGAGAGAAAGAGATGAAGCGAGTCCAGGTTTTATTGTGGCATCATAGCATCTGCAGCATTGAACTCTGCTGCAGTTACACATAGGTGCAATAACTTAGTAAAACTGACAGCACAAGATTATGTAACCACCTGTTCAAGTTTTCCTTTAGGGTTCCTAATTACTGAATCCTATTTGTTGAGAACCTGTCCAATTCCTTTTCAATACCAAATAAAAGTTTTCAGTTCACTATCGCTTCTAGTTTTTAAAACAATCTTTCCTGCATTCACCTTCTCAGAATATTACCAGCTAACATTATTTATTTGTTCTCACTGCATTACACTTTGCAGTGGTTTGGTAACAAATTTTTAGCATGGATTTTGGAAAGAAACTTTCACCTTTGAATCTATCCTTCAGGTGGCACAGTCTACAAGTTGCTCTGTTGAGGCTGTTTCTAATCTCTACGATGTACAGCTGCCAGGTGCAAGAGATTTTTCCACACAATGGCAACTTACTGATACAATGCCTCCCACTCAATGTGAAAATTTAGAACTATTAATTTGCCTTCATATATTAAAATTGCATTTTTTTTGCCTTTTCTCTCGGCCTTCCTGGGACAGGACCCAATTTGTCTCTTACACGGTGAATAGCCAGTCATATATTTCCAATTCCTCTTTACTGTACTCAAGGATAAGCCATTTGTTGTGTTCACTTCTTACTGAGACTTGGAATTCAACAAATCATAAAATGAAACGAAACCAATTCACCTCTCTGAACGTTAGTGTTTGATTTTGACAAACTGTAAATAAAGATACAATTAATCACTACTAAGGTCACTTTTTCGTTGTTTGAACTACTGCAAAACTAAAGATAATGAAGTATACGAAAGCCAGCAAAAAGTGTTTCACTTTTGCCGTACAGAGTACATATCCAAGGTTGCAGCAACACAAGGGGAACATGGAGGGCCTTTAGTCACTCCATCCAATGCTACGCAACACAAAATCCCCTGGAATATTCATTTTCAATACTTCAACTATGATTCTTAGGCACTTCATGAAACCTTGATGGTGCACAAACATGTTCTAAGCAGCAGGAAGTGCAGATACTTCCATAAGACAGCGTGACCCATTACAAATCTCAAAGAGGTTCAAACATTGCTTCTGGAGAACCACATTGCAACTGAAGGCAGCACTGAATAGAGCAGTCACAGCTCAGTCACACCACAGGAAATGCAACATTGTTGAACTTAAAATTAAAGAGCATGACTGCACTATTCTTCTTTTACGTCTGTAAGAATGTACATTTGCCATGACTCGCAGAATGCCTCCATTGCTAATCCCAGTCTACCTGGGCTGACCAAGGGGAGGCGACAACCTAGTGGTATTATCGATGGACCGTTAATCGAGAAACCCAGGAAATGCTCTGGGGACAAAAACAAAGTTGCTGGAAAAGCTCAGCAGGTCTGGCAGCATCCGTGGAGGAGAAAACAGAGTTAACATTGCAGATCCGGTGACCCTTCCTCTGGGGACACAGGTTTAAATCCGGCCATGGCAGATAGTGGAATCTAAATTCAATAAATATCAGAATTCATTAAAATAAATCATCACATGATTATCAGGAAAAACCCATCTGATTCATTAAAATCCTTTAGGGAAGGAAACTGCCATCCTAACCTGGTCTAGACTACATGGATCAACAGCAATATGGTTGACTCTTAACTGCCCACCAGGATGGGCAGTAAATGCTGGCCTGGACAGTGATGTCCTCATCCTATAAATGAATAAAAAATAACTATGCAGTACTGATCACATGGTCAGATTGCAAAATCTTAGGCAGAAGACAGTCAGAACATCCTCATCATCCAATTTCCCTCTCAACTGATGTCACCATTAGAAAAACAGGTCCCTTTAAAGGTCAATCAGAACAGCTCCATAGTGACTGAGAGCAAGTGATGTGCTTTGGATTTCATTTCAGAGCTTGAAGGAAAATTGTTGTCAATTATTCCTTTAAGTGAAGAAGTGGGTGATCTGGCGGTTTTTATTAACGATAAGATTGGTGCCAGAGTGTCCTTGTAAGGGCGCACGTGGTGTCTACCAACACCCATGAAGCCTTCAGAGACAGGTGAGCACCATGGGGTTGCAGAGCATTATTTCCCACTCTGTCTCCGTTTTAATTTAATTTCCTCCATCTTTTTGCTATTGTCACACTGTCCCTTGTTTTTCATTAATTTAATTAGGGATACAGGCGATTTGGTGGCAGTTTAATTAAAAATGAGCCGGGGATTGTTGTTACTTGTTCTTCTAATTGGAGAAACAGGCAATTTTGTGGCAGTTTTACAAAAAAAATAGACCTGGATATTGGTGCCTGGATGATTTCAGAAAGGGAGCATGCACTCCAAGCCTTGAGAGAGAGAGAGGTGGGCACCAACCAGGCTGGAGGGCATTATTCCTCCCTCCAAATCCATTTTAGTTTAATCTCATCACTCTCTTCCTACTCTTCCCTATTTTCTTGTTGCTGCACTGCCCCTGGTGGGTTGCACTTGTTAACTTGTATTTTAATTAGTGACACAAATTGCTTGGGTGGAGGTTTAATTAAAAAGAGCTGGGGATTGGCTCTTGTGGTCCAATCGTAGCATCACTGCCTCTGAGTCAGCGAACCTCGGTTCAAGTTCCACCTGCTATAGAAGACTGTGATAACAAGTTGTCTTAACAGGTTAATTAAAAATATCCATACCAGATTGCATAAAATTCAGAATCAGAAATAAGTCAACCAGAATCCTTATGAGTACTTGTTTGTCAAAGGGGAAAAAAAAAAGGTGGGTTCTTCAGCCTGGCACAATAGTAATGTCCCTGCCTCTAGGCAGGAAGATCCCAGTTGAAGACCCACCTGCTTCAGATGTCTCATGTCTGACCAAGTTTGTTTTAAAAAAGAACTGGATTCTTCCCCAGCTTGGAGCTGGCTTCCGGATAGGGAAAGAAGCCAGAAGGGAAAGGTGGAAACTGATATTTGCACCAAAATATTTGCACTAAACTACAGAGTTATAATAACACCTTTATAAATGTCTGAATTTCTTTTGCTGCTTAACTCAACAAACCCAACTGGAATAAAGTCTTAGCATTTTTCAAATCTTACAATTACATCTCTTCTTGAAACTGGGAAACTACTGGACAGCCTTCCCTATCTGACTTGTATTATATTACCAGAAAAGAGTTTAAAGTTGTTTAGGTTGGAACTGATTAAGTATAAATATATTGAGTTATTCAGCCGTAGAACTACACACATCATTGTAGACTATGATGCTGAGAATAATACATGTAAGCATTGTAATTTGGAATTAGGTTAGATGACAACCAAGAAATGTAAAACTATTATGACAAAGAAATTTGGAAAGAAAGACACAACATATTGCAAAAACATGCTTTAAACAGTTAAAATTTTTTTATGCATGTCAGTAGTACATACTGAAATGCAGAGAATGCAAATAAGTAACATACCTGGGTGATCCATACGGATTGGTGTTATGGCTGGAAGTTACATGCAGGTTCTGCTCAATCCGCTGGTAGTTTCGAATCTGAGTAGGGACTGGAATCGGAGCTGACTCAGTGCGAGGCGACACTGGAGGTGGGCACTGCCTGGAGTTAAAACACACGACAGCTGGCCATGAGGCAGGAGTTACAGCTCCTTGATGTATCTGCACCATTATCTGACTATTAAAATGAGGTATTTAAAATATTTTGAGCAGCTGTTATGCAACATAAACCTAATCAGCATGAATGAGCAAAAGCCTTGATTCTGTTATAAACAATGCTCTACTTGAAACACAACTAGCGATTTCACATGAAAACCTGCATGAACTTCCTTTCAACTTTGTATGGGTGAAGTAAGTAAGTCAAGACGACTAACTTTAATGAAAGGCAAATATGAGCTAGATAGGAAACTGCTCTAAATTTATAAAAAAACATTCACACAACCTTTCCTTTCTCTTCCTCCACCCAGCTGTATCAGATTACAGAAAATAAATACAGGGAACGTCACTGGGAACGCTCTGTTCCAAGGCCGTACCAAATGGTATCTCGGAATTAAAAGGTGATCAACATCACAACAGAAATAAGTCACAAAAATAAAAATAATTAAAGCAAGTAACACAGTTCAAGGTAAATACAGTTCATAGCAGGGGTACCTTTGAAAGGCAGTAGCTTATGTTGACAAACATGTCTCAGACTGACTGCTGACGTTTAGCACCTCATATTCAGTTTATCTTAATGACGCCTGCAACCTCTCCCACCCCCTCACCACGCAACAAGTCCTATTTGCCTGTGTCTTGTCATGAAGAGATCCTCCTCATTTGCCTTTTCAAGGACTTTAGAAAAGCATTAGCTCCAGCCAAAAGAACAGTGGAAAAAAATAGTTGCATAAGTTAACTCTTTTCAAACCAAACCAAAACATTGGCCAAGTGATTTGCATTTGCAGAGGGAAAATGATTAATGATTACTTCCAATCATCCTGAAGCATCTTTAAACTTACCAATTCTGGATAGCACAACTGTTCACTGAACGTTCTCCCACAATAAATTACAGTCTTAGATTTCTCAAATGATGTTGAAATACTTTGAAGTCCCTTTCTATCTCTCCAGTTCTACTTGTAACATTTGAAGTGTACAGAATGCAGTGAGCATTCCTTACAGAACATCCCGCTTACTAAATAACATCCGCACAGATAGCCAACCTAAAATCTCTTTTTTTTTGGGGGGGGGGAGGAGGGTGGCCGGGGGACGTGGGGTGTTGAAGGATGTCCGATCAATCATTTTGACTTTTCCCCTTTTTGGCACCTGGATGTTGAACAACAGCACAGTAATTCTGCATGTAAATACAGCTACATCCCAGAATTAAAGAAATCAAGAGATTGCGAGCTGCAGAGAACAGAAAAAGACTGAGATGGCCTAATTCTATTCCTATATCTCATGGTCTTGTGGACTCTATCATCAGCATCTATGTGGTATTTCACAGATACCATAATGAAGAACAAATTCATTTATAGAAAGAACACCACAGCACAGAAACAGGCCCTTTGGTCCACCAAGCCTATGCTGACACATGAAACCTTCTTAAACTAAAAACCTTTTATCCTTATGGGGCCCATGTTCCTCTATTTCCTGCCTATTCATGTACCTGTCAAGATGCCTCTTAAACATTGCTCTTGTATCTGCTTCTACCAACTCCTCTGGCAGCACATTCCAGGCATTTACCACCCTTCTCATAAAACAAAATTTGCCTCTCACATTTCCTTTAAACTTTCCCCATTTTACCTTAAATCTATGTCCTCTAGTAATTGACTTTTTTACCCTGGGAAAAGGACTCCAACCATCCACACCTCTCATAATTTTGTAAACTTCTATCAGGTCACTCCTCCGCCTCCAATGTTTGATTTGATTTATTGCAGTCATGTGTACCTAAATATAGTGAAAAGCCTTGTCCTGCAAGCAGTACAGGCAGATAATAGAGTGCTTAGACAGAGCGAGGCATACAGGTAACACTGCACATGTACACAAAGCAAGATCAACACTATTTGAAGATAGAGAATCCATTCATCAGTCTAATAGGTGCAGGGAAGAAGCTGTTCCCTGTCGGTGCGTGTTCAAGCTTCCGTATCTTCTGCCTGATGGAAGAGGGAAAACAAACCATATTTGTCCAATCTCTCCTCATAGCTAATACCTCCAAACTAGGCAACATCCTGGTAAACCTTTCCTGTACTCTCTCCAAAGCCTCACACAATCTTCCAAATGTGGCCTAAATAAAGTTCTGTACACCTGTAATATGAATTGCCAATTTTTATACTCTATAAGTTGAAGGCAAAGATGCCATATGCCTTCTGACCACATAGTCCACTTGTGTTGCCACTTTCAGAGAACTGTGGACTTGTAGGCCTGGATCCCTCTGTATATTAATGCTTTTAAGGATTCTGCCATTTACTGTATACTTCCCTCCTGTATTAGACCTTCCAAAATGCATCACTTCACATTTGTCCTAATTAAATTCATGTCATTTCTCCACCCAAGTCTCCAGCTTATCTATATCCTGTCGTATCTTCTGACAATCCTCCTCATTACCCACGGCTCCCCCAATCTTTGTGTCATCTGCAAACTTACTAATCTGGCCACCTAACATTCTCCTCCAATATTGCAAACAACACAGGCCCAGCACAGACCCCTGCACAACACCACTGGTTACAGATCTCCAGTCAGAAAAACACCCTTCCACCGCTACTCTTCCCGTTCTGTATCCCTCTTACCTGCTCAACGCAGATCCCCTGAGAGTTCATCTTTTGTATCAGCCTGCCATGACGGACCTTGTACAGGCCTTGCTAAAGTCCGTGTAGACAGCATCCACTGCCCAGTCCTCAATCATCTTTGTCACTTCCTCAAAAAACTCAATCAATTTTGGAGATATGACTGTCCCCACACAAAGTCATGCTGCCTATTGCTAACGCATCCATATTTTTCCCAATGTGAATAAATCCTGCCCCTCAGAATTTGCTGCAATTTCTTTGCCACTGACTTAAAGCTCGCCAGCCCGTATTTTCCTGGATTATCCCTATTGCCCTTCTTAAACAAAAAGAACAACGCTGCTATTGTCCAGTCCTCTGGGACCTCTCCTGTGACTGAAGAGGATATAAAGATTTTATAAAAAGCCCCAGCAATTTCCTCCCTTTCCTCCCTCACTATTTTGGGATAGATCCCAGGTCCTATGGATTTGTCTACCTAATGCTTTTCAAAACACCCACCTCATTTTTTATGTTGCCATACCCTAAAATATCAACATACCCCTCTCTAGACTCACCATCCACCCTGTTCTTCTCCTTTGTGAATTCCTAACATAATTCATGAATAATTGAACCTAATAACAAGCATGAGAGTAAAAGGAAGATATTTTGGTATTGTATTAATATCAAAGTAGTAGGCAAAGTATATCCATGCAGTTTTTCTTTTCAACAAATCTGCCAGCGATCACTTGCTACTTCTTGCCTGAGAAGAGCAATCTTTGTCCAGACTTCTGCCAAGCATAATCCTCAAGAGAATACAGAAGTGATGCAGAAATGCACATGCCCGGTCTAGTGCATCAGCATCATTCCATTGGAGAATAAGCAATTAATTGCAGTAGAACAAGGGCCATGTTCTAGTATCTTACTGCAGCTTCCACCCAGCTTCAAGACCCATCAATTGCTACTGAAAAACTAAAACTAAAAATCCTGGTTCTGTGGGACCTTGCCCCTCTCATTCAGGCTGCTTCTATTATTCCAACTTTAAAAAAAACTGAGGCCTCACAAGCTGCTTACTTTATGGGCTCTCCATACACAGCTCGATACTTCTGTCTTAAAACCTCTCCTAAAAAGAGGACAAAAAACACCTGTTAAAGCCATAGTATTGTCACAAAACCTATTTAAATATGACCAAAAAGGATATTATTTCATCTTCAGTTTATATCCACATACAGGAACGAGACTTGCTATCCTATTTTCCTCAAACTGCAACAATGTGAAGGCTTTTCTAACATTTGTTGAGAGCTGGGTTGATTCTCTGCCCCAAAGGATTATGGATGTTGTGGTCAACTGAAACTTGAGACTGGAATCAAAGAATTTTTTTTATTCAGAGTGTTAAGGGATGTATTACACGGCAATTGAAAGGAAGTGGCGATTCAGGTCAGACGTGACTTGATCGAGTCATACAGCCGTACAACATGGAAACAGACCCTTCGTTCCAAATGGTCTATGCCGACCAGATATCCGAAATTAATTTGTCCCATTTGCCAGCATTTACCCCATATCCCTCTAAACCCTTCATATTCATATACTCATCCAGATGCCTTTTAAATGCTGTAATTGTACTAGTCTCTTCCACTTCCTCTGGCAACTCATTCCATACACACACCACCCTCTGCATGAAAACGTTGCCCTTTACGTCCCTTTTAAATCTTTCCCCTCTCACTTTAAACCTATGCCCTCTAGTTTTGGACTCCACTACGCTAAAGAAAAGACTTTGGCGACACACCCTTCCCATGGTCCTCATGATTTTACAAATTTCTGTTAAGGTCACCTTGCAGCCTCCAACATGCCAATGAAAATAGCCCTTGTTCTACTGCAATTAATTGCTTATTCTCTGATGGAATGATGCTGATGCACTAGACCGGGCATGTGCAGTTCTGCATCACTTCTGTATTCTCTTGAGGATTATGCTTGGCAGAAGTCTGGACAAAGATTGCTCTTCTCAGGCAAGAAGTAGCAAGTGATCGCTGCAGATTTGTTGAAAAGAAAAACTGCATGGATATACTTTGCCTACTACTTTGATATTAATACAATACCAAAATATCTTCCTTTTACTCTCATGCTTGTTAGTAGGTTCAATTATTTTCCAGTCCATTCAGCCTCTCCCTATAGCTCAAACCCGTCAACATTCTTGTAAGTCTTTTCAGAACCTGTTCACGTTTCATAACATCCTTCCTAGCGCAGGGAGACCAGAATCAACCGCAGTATTCCAAAAGTGGCCTAACCAATGTCTTGTAGAGCTGCAACATGACCTCCCAACTTCTATACTCAATGCACTGACCAATAAAGGCATGCATACCAAAATGTCCTCTTC